CTCGTAACTGCGCCGTTTGACGCTCCGCTCAATATTCCGATCTATGAATGTGCGTTCCGCTCGTGTAACGCTCATGCTCATCGGAAAAGCAAAGTCCGCTCAAATAACGCGCTGACAGGAAATTTCTATGCAGTATAGGCCTATTTGTTCCGGTTTGCAGTAGCTCTACTGTGCTGTAACATGGTGTAGGCTAGTTCAGCTGTACTGTTTGTTTGTTTTGTTTATTTATATAGCACAATACAGCAACAGTCGTTGACCATTGTGCTGTACAAGAAATTATAAAATCAGATTAATAAAACACCAATCAAAACAACATAAAAATCATATGGTACAAGAGGTAGTACATACAAAGGACAACAGAGACATCAAATCCAACAGAAAGACTCTTATTTATTTTTTCTAAGATACAAGGCCCAATAACATCAAAAACCTGAATAAGTAGACAAAATTACTTTATATCATTTAAAAAAAATAATAAATAATCATTACAAAGCAGTTTCGGTTTTCGGCCAAGTGCATCCAGAATTTTCGGTTTCCGTTTCGGCCCAGAATTTTCATTTCGGTGCATCCCTAGATGTAAGACTACATGTTTTATTTAATTTAATTTAAATTTAACAGTAATTTACTTTCAAATTCCCCAATTGCTGAAGGGTCTGCACAACTTTTTAGTACAATTTCAAGTTGCACTGTTCAAAATACCTGTAGTAGCACAGCAGTGCATACCTGTTTACATTTAATTAAGGTGGACTAGATTAGACTGTAATACAAATAGTTGAGTTTGCCAGGTGCATACAACTTTTATGACAGGTTTTCATGAAAGTGTTGGTCAGTTTGTCTGCTTGACAATCCCATTTTGCACCGCAAAAATAAAACTGAAGTGAAATAAACAAACTGAGAAATGTTTCTTTTTAGTTAAAACAGATGTTGTCAAAGTTTTCCTTTGGGGACATAATTTGAAGTTGGAAAAAGGTAGTAAATTGCAATATATCGCAGAATATCGCAATATATTTAAAATCGCAATAATATTGTATCGTGACACAAGTATCGTGATAATATCGTATCGTGAGGCCTCTGGTGATTCCCACCCTTAGAAGTTACGAGCATGATCGAACTCAGCACCGGACAAAAAGCGGTGAGTGCGTGGATTTCAACCTAAACACATCTGATTGGCCATTGCGTGTAGAAATCAACAAACATTTCTGTGATTGGCTACTTTGCGCCCCTCTGAAAATGCATTGTAAAATCATTTGACGCTATCCAAAACAGAAGGGCAGATACACTGGATTATTTGCCAAATCTATTTAGTTATGCTATTATTACGAAGAAAATCAATCCTAGTTATGGGCAGCTTTTCCATCTAAAAGCATTCAGTTAGACGATTTTACACAATGAGTTAGACTATTATACGCGAAACTAAAGTCCGGCCGTCCCCCTTGGTCCGCCAAAGTCTTCATTTTGTTTTTCTTCAGCCATTCAGAGGTGGACTTGCTGGTGTGTTTTGGATCATTGTCCTGCTGCAGAACCCAAGTTCGCTTCAGCTTGAGGTCACGAACAGATGGCCGGACATTCTCCTTCAGGACTTTTTGGTAAACAGCAGAATTCATGGTTCCATTTATCACAGCAAGTCTTCCAGGCCCTGAAACAGTGCCAGACCATCACACTACCACCACCATATTTTACTGCTGGTACGATATTCTTTTTCTGAAATGCAGTGTTACTTTTACGCCAGACGTAATGGGACACACACCTTCCAAAAAGTTCAACTTTTGTCTCGTCAGTCCACAGAGTACTTTATATATATATATATATATGTACAGTATGTATATATATATATATATATATATATATTTCAATGGATCATATGGTTTTTAACAAATAACAAATTCACAAATCGGATGATTTAAACAGGAAAAAAAATTAAACCACAGAGAATGAGCATGCCGTGAAGGGTTTTTTGACATCATTTTATGTGTAGCCTATGTATCTCAAACGCAGGGAGACATGAAAGAGGAATCGATTCGGTATTGGCGCGCTATCTGAAACATGTTTCTATGCTTGTGCGCGCTTTGACTGTGTGTGAGAACAGCGCGTGAGTAATGAATCACTTTCTTTCTTCTTCTTGTGGTTTAAAATCGCTTGTACTTGTAAATTGGCAAATTAATCTGCTAATCACATGCGTGCCGAATGGTGGGGTCTGGTCCATACATATCATGGATCAACTGCGATCCGTTTAACCCCTATATGACAGATCAGAGCAATCTTTCATTTACAAATTGAACATGAAATCATCAAATTGCTACTCCATATCTATCGCATATAACAAAAATACAGAATAATTAGAACAATCATTAATGCGCAATAAATAACAGAACGTCATATCTATACACATTTTCCCAGAATGTTCTTGCGACCCGGTAGCAGCTTTTCCATGGCCCGGTAGTGGGTCGCGACCCGGTGGTTGGGGACCTCTGGTTTAAAGTAACAGCAGCAGCTCTGGGCATGTGACCAAATGCATAAATCTTATTAGTTGGTCATTATTCTTGCAGTGCAATAGAAAAGAGATTAGAACACCTCTCTGTAAAACAATCTTGCCACAATGAAGGCATGTGAATACATTTTTTTTTTTTTAAGGACTAAGTGACTACTCTGAGACAGGTCTGAGATCAGTGACAAGAGACTCAGACAGTCAGCGTCCTCTGATGAGTGATGATGAAGATGAGTTATGTGATGATTACTCCATACAGCAGCGGGATGAGGAGCCTGAACCACAGCCCAAAGCCATCGGCTTTCTCCAGGCCTTCTGCCTGCCAGGAGTCATTCCTGTCAGTGTCCAATTAAATGCTTTCTTACTTGCATACTAAAAATGGGCCACTATTGTCGAATAGACTTGAGATTTATTTATTGTCTGTCTCCTGCAGTATTCTCTGGCCTATGCATGTCTGAAGCTGGTCAACTACTCTTTCTTCTTCTGGCTTCCATTTTATCTCAGCAACAACTTTGGCTGGAAGGAGGTTCAGGCCGACCGGCTATCTGTGTGGTATGATGTGGGAGGCATTGTTGGTCAGTACCCGGTTTGGTTCTAACCAGACGTTACCAATTAAGTTTTTTCACTCTGAAAGAAACAAGCCAATCAAAAGATCATCAATGCAATTACTGATGAAATTGGTCATTAACAAAGGAATTTTTATATCTGTCAGTGATAGTAATGATGAAACAACAAATGCACATCATAACAATAATTAGACGATTTATATTGAAACATACAGATTACAAAAATAACAGGTTAGATATTAACAATACAAGCAATGTTTTTAAAGTAAATGTTCATGTTGTAAATGTTGTTTAAAAGAATCCAATCATATTCAGTAATGTGTAGCAAAATTAGCTCAAAAGGGAAATGTATATAAATAATTACAATTAATTATGATTAATTACAACTATTTATATCAGCTGCCAGTAGTAACTGTAGCAGAATTAAATTGCCATCAACCAATCTGTTCGTCCAGCGAACATTCAGTGTAAGTTCATATCAACTCTAGGTAGGAAATATTTCCGTGGCCACAGAAAATACTTTCATAGGAAAACCAGAGAATGAAGCTATGAAAAGAGTCAGTTAAACACCTGAGTAAAGCCATCAGCGCCGTTTTAGAACGGGGTCTACAGCTTATACTAAACCTCTGTTTCGTTTAGTTAAATGTACGATACTTGCATTGCCTTGGCCTGGAACGAGTGTACGGATGCAGTCTCGGATGAAAGTCTTGATGGTTTGGAGGTTCGGTGGTGTAGGTGTCGCGATCACCTTCTTCCGGGTTTAAAGAGTGATGAACTCCAAAGATGCTCTGACTCGATGGTGATTGGGAGTTTCTTCCCAGTGGAAAGTGAAAAAGAGACATCAGCTGAGATCCTAGGATCTTTGGTGAATGGAAAGTCAAGGCC